GCCATCTCGCCGCGCGTCGGATCTTCTATCGGGTACCCAACGAGCGTAGTCCAAGGCGACCGTAGCACGTGCCGGTGAAAGTACCTTGTTTCTCGCATACAGCTCAGCCGTTACACAAGCAGAGCAGGCATCTCGTCAGAAAACCAATATCAGCAAGTCACGCATGATATAATAAGGCAAACACGTCGTAGTACATCATATCAGTTTTTTGAGCTTGACCCTACAAGTGCTGCTGATTTTGCAAGCAGCAGTAGAATACCTACCTCGAAAAAATCGGCTGTTTCGAGCTGCTATTGGGGTGTGACGCTTTGCCAGTCTGTGGTATTGAGGGTGGTCGTCTACTTGCAAACTTTCGCTTTGTTATGAGCATCTGTTATTTGAATGGGTCGAAGTCACAGTGCGGCAGTGCGGTTACCGCGCGCGGCATTTGCACAAAATCGGACAGCGCGCCCTTATGTTCGCGCTAATCACAACTGTTCCTCGCTAGCCAGATCCTGAAAGGTAGAAAGTATCATAAAGAAGTGCTAAAGAACTACCGTATGCCAAGAACAATCAACTGTGTCCTCAAAACTATCGCTTCTACGAAACTCCGTCAGCCCTTTGTGCTGTTTGTAGTACTAGCATTCCTTTGCGCTACCAAATCTACCTCGATTTTAATTTCAGTGATCAACTCATCGATAATTCCGGAAATACGACGAGTGACCAACATGAAATCGGTGAAAATGTTGACCATGCAGTTTCGATCGGAACACAGACCCGGTTGGACCGAATCGGACGTCAAAAGTTGGGAAATGAAGATGGTCGACGTGTTCCAGAAGTTTGTTCTGATTATGGGCTTATCTTTTGGCGTTGAAGATCCATGTTGCATTCTGGAGAGATTCGACCTCACGGTTTCCGAAGTTTTAGTTTTCCGATTTCCGACCTCCGATACCTCACTAACGCAGAACCCAATTTTCGAGACTCTTATGTTTTCTGCGTTGGGAAACTACAGTTGCATGGGTCGCAAGCTGGTTTGACCCCCCTTTTTCCCAAAACTTTATTCATTACCGTTCCGATTTCCGATTTCTGGTTCCCTTAACCCCACCACACACACGAATCTCCTTTGTAGATTTTGTTTTATTTATTTATTCATTTTTTAATATTACTTTTTCGATTTGCGCCCTTCAGTTTATCAAACGAGATTTTTCAGCCAGTGGCACTCGGACCTCGTCAAAATTTACTCTCAGATCTCGTCAAAATTTACTCTCTGTCACAGTCCTACATAGAAGATGAAATGGTCCGTGGAGGAACCATTATGATACCGTATCTGGTGGTCGGCTTTGTAATCATGTGCGTGTGCAGTATCATATCAGTAATGACAAGAGCATTGTATATGCATCAGGAAAACTGGTATAAGGTGAGCGGATGGCCTTTTTCACTGGTTGTTCTATGCTCTTTTGAAAGTAGCCTTTCAGAATCGCTCGGCCAAATGGCTTGTCCTCACCTCCGTTACTGTCGTGCTCAACTGCTTTGGCAATGATGTTCCTCTGTGGTGTGCGATTTGCATCCATACTCTGCGTCATACCGTTCCTCGTTCTTTCCATCGGTAAGTTATTGAAATCACTATAAAATATTCATACATGCTTCAGAACAGAACTGATATCCTTGATGTCTAGCTATCGTTCGATGAGGGAGCTTTTGGGGATTTGTTTGCGGATTTTTGGATCGTTAGACGAGCCTTTTGTCCTTTTGAGTTTTAAAAAAGTGCAAAATATCGAGGATGCAGAAACGGAACCAAGAAATCCTCGGCTAGGTAATATTTTCCGTAATTGTTGGTTTTGTGATCGCTCCGCTCCAGCTCGAGGTAAGGTTGAAGGTCGATGAAAGGTATACGTACCTAATGCCCCGATGGTTTTATATGACCGTCATTGCGACGCTATCGACGCAGCGGAGGTCTTAAGCCGTGTGAAGAGAGGTTGTGCATTGAAGCAGGGCACCAACCGAGCGAAAGTCGAGCATGAGCACATCAACAAGCAAGGAGGATTTCCCTTTTCGAGTTGTGGGTCATTTCTCAGGATTTCTCTTTTTCCCCAACCCCCTTTACTTTAATTCTAAAGGGGTGCATTCTAGTCATAAGTTCCGTCTTCACCTCCTCTTACGCAAGAAAAGTCAATGTAAGTTGTGATCGTTAACTGCATAAGAAAATATTAATCAAGGAAGTTGACTTTTTCAGAGAATCAGAATATGACCTATCTGAAAATTGCATTTGAAAAATAGAACGTTCCCCGCCATAACTGGGGTGAATCTTCGATCAGACTGACGCAGCGGTCGCATCGTTCGTGGTACAGTAATAACTAGCGAGAGGCTTGAGGGCTTTGCTACAACTTGAGCAAACGCTAGGAATGCGCACTCTCGCTTCATCATAACTATTTGATGGGACGGAGATGATTCCTTTTTCCTTTCCTGATGAATTCTTCGCAGCTCCAACTTAATCGGTTGTTATCATTATGTGTGCTGATTTTTGTGACTTAGGCCTACTAGAGGATCTTACCAGCAAAAACTGTGGAATTTCTTTTTACAGGTGTTGACTCATCGTATTTGATGATCCACGAATGGCAACGGGTTACCGAGCACATGAGAGGATACACCCAGGAAAAAAGACAGCGTGGGTCATCGAATGAGTGAGGTAGGTTGAATACTCTTCGTTCCAGTGCTTCCTGGATAGTAACCAAGTGCTAGTTTTCAGTGTTGCCTGACCACATATCGCTTTCCAGGTACTTTCCGAAGTCGGTCCAGCGATTCTGATCTCGTGTCTGACCAACGTGTTCGCCGACGCTGTCGGTTCGTTCACCTCATCGCCGGAGATCACTCTGCTTTGTACTGGCAACATGTTGTCCATGTGCGTTGCGTTCGTCTACCAGGTAAAGCTTTACTTTGGGATTTTCTCAACTTCTCACACACCTTTAATCTCTGGGAGATTGGCACGTCACAACCGTCTAACGTCCAGGGATTGAATTCGAGATTGAATCCTACCCCGCCAAACAAAGGATCCATTTGTCTGATCGGGCAGGGGCCAGGTACAGCTAGCCCCGACCGGAAATGGGTCCCAAAAACTGCGTCTCTGGACAATTTCCCCTATTCTTGACCATGGGACTTCGTCTGGAGTAGAGGTGCAGAATTTTATGTGCATATCCCTGGCCGGGCTTCTGCATCCGGCCCAGGAGTCCTGTAATGGGAATCAAACTCATTGAATGAGAAGGATAAAAGTACTAAGTTGGACAGCGGCTGGCTTTCAAACTGCTTGCAGCTACAGAGAGGGGGGAGTGGCAATAAAAAATGCATTCGTCTCTACATTCGAATGGTTTAATCACAAGTTGCTGACCTCAAACCAAGTGCTCCCACTTGAAGTAAGAGCTTATTCTAGCTTATTGACAAAATCATCGTTGTGGCTTTCTATAATACATGGATGAAATCAGAAGCATTGACCATGAAACAGGGGTTAAAGGGTGCAGGGTTAAAGCTCAGCGAGCGCAGGATCATGGATCAATGCAACGTTTTTTGAAACGGTGGCCGGGATTGAGTTTGAATAGTCAGTTAACGACTCTAAAATATTATTAGAATGTGGTCGAAGAAATTAGTAAGAGCTCAAAGCTAGAAATTACGGTAGGACTCCTTGAGCCCGACAACGATGGCAGTGATGGACTGGACTATTGAAATCTTAAATGTGGAAGGTCCAAAGAATCGCTGCTCATTGGAGCTGGTGGTAGAGGGTGATTGGCTCAAGAAAACTACAAGTGACAACGACGTAAGACCCAAGAAATGGGACGCCTTTTTCCCCTTGATTTCCTCTTTGGACCAGCTAGTGACTAACCATAAGACGAACTCGCTTGCACGTGCTAATCCCGATAGCCGCTATGCCAGCGGATATCGTTCTAGCGTAAAACGATATCGATATCGGAACGATATCAGATAGCGTAAAACCCTGTAAAGCTAAAAGATGCGGCAGCTCAACGTAAATGCCGTTCCAAAGCAGAGCAAAGTACTGTGGAGGAAACGGGCGGAATATGGCAAGGGCACTGGACGGGGTTGGGGTTAGCAACGTGGCGATACAGCCTCTACTCTCTTCCTAGGCGATCAGTCGTCCTCTGCGATTATAATATCCTCTTCTTTCATATTCCATTCATCGTAAGTTCATATTTCGGAGCCACAAACCCACATAAAATTGAAAAGGTAACAGCGATCGATCGTGAAAATCTGGATGCTGAAGTAACCAAGATGAAAAATATGAAGGGAGTCACCTATAAAGTCTTCACAAGGACCCCCTCCTCCGTTTCACCTTGAGATGAGGAAGGCGCTTATCCGGACGAGTTTACGGGAAACAGCGTCACCAATGTCATGCGTATGTTTCATATGTTTTACCTACTGCCCATCTTACGTTGTATTTTACGTTGTTTGCTAATTGTTCGCAATCTCCACTTCCACCAATGGGGATGACCAAAGGACGGATGGACCGACGGTCGCCGCTACGTTTACCTCCGATTTTTTTCAGATCTTTTTTTCGACCATTGCCGACGAGAAACCATAATAACGTTTTTTCTTGCAGATGACGTTTTACGCTGGTCTGATGACACTCGTTGGACGACGAGAAATCGGCGAGGATATTGAAGAAAAGAACAGAATGGCCATAAGTATAGCCGAGAATCGCGTGAATATTGCCAAGCACCACAGGACACTTACGGTAAACCTAAACTCGTTGTTACCTTTCAGCTTTTCTTCTGAATTTGGATACAAGTATCACCAGAAGTAAGGAAGGCACAGCAATTCTGGGTAAACATGTGCTGAATCAAAGACAGCAGCGTAATCATAGATTGCCCTCCAATTTTCCTGGCACTTTTATGGCGCTAATGCTGATCGATAGACCTTTATTTCGTGATTGGACATTAGAACAATGAAAATGCTATCTAGAAAACTGATTGAAACATTTGATTCCAGCGCAAACCGTCGAAATTCCATGAGGCCACGAAGCCGGTGATCAGTAAATGTATGAAGGATTATGTTGAGATTATGACAACTCCTTTCGTCTACGTCGGAGTTTTCCTCATCTATGTCGCCTATCTGGCGTTGAGTATCTATGTGAGTTCGAACGATTGTTTTTTTTTCTTGACTTCTATTACTTACGACTATCGCAGCAGCACAAGCAGATAACGTAACTATCGAAGGTAGAAACAGATTTGGCCAGGGATCACCATATGCCAGTCTACGGTCTCATCAGTCTGACCGTGCTGGTAAGGAAGGTGTAAACTGTGATCAAAAAATATCGATTGGCTACAGAGTGCTGGTTTTCTGAGATTTTCCTGTTTTCAGGGAATAACCAGGATCAATATTAGTTTGACCGCAACGAAACTCTTCGCCACAGACTCGCCTCTGTTGGAGGTGAATTTAATAATTTTATGTAATTATTTCAGCCTTTATGATCACCAGGTATCATTACCTATCGCCATTACCATTGAGAATCATTAGATATCATCCAATATCACGTTGTTATCATAGAAAAATCGTGAGTATCAAACCCAAAACATATACGCCAACAATTGAGGAACCAGCCAACTTTTCTTGAACATCACAATTTCATTTTTTATTTGTTTGTTTTTGTTTTTCCTTTTCTCGAATGAAGAATTAAGAAACGTCCATTTAGCTTGATAGATATCGTGTCACCTATCAAGTGCCCGTCTATTCAATGGCTACCGTATTCGTGAAGAATCCCGGCAACCTATCGGAACCGGAGCGATTACGTCGAATCAACGAGTACGTTACCATTTTCGATTACTCAGTCAAGGAAAGGGTTTGTGAATTCAATGGCTTTCCTTTTCATTGAAGGTTAGCAGATAAACTCACGAAACCTTTCGAAAAAAAAGTTCGTCAGAATTGTCGAATCTTACGCGCAACAAGCTCAAGTTCTGCCTTTTGAGACTGAGCCATGCTTCCATATTCTATGCGATTTATAGGAATGATTGTAAGTAATACACACATCAATTCGTACCTGGAGTGGGCTCGCTTCAAGTTGTCATAATGTGACCTTTGTGGTTGGAAGGAAGCAAGATTTTTCCCCAACCCTAGTAATGGGGGAGGAGGCACGACTAGGCTATTTGGCTAGGGTGAAGTTGTGAGATAGCGTTTGTACCCCTTTTATTACTTGGTCTACGATCACTGTGGTTTCCTGCCGTGATTTTTAGGCTTCAGGGCTCCTAATTCTTCGTAGAATTACTAGATGAAAGTTCTGAAATTCCAGATCCTTACATTTCAATCTTGGATAGTGAGTTATATGGGACGATTCTGGCCATTTGGGCTTGCCCCTATGATTAGGTGTGTTCCTAGCATACGAAAATGAAAGCATTGTAGTAGCAGCCAAGTCAAAAGAAAGAGGAAGGATCGCATGAAGTTAAGCAATGGTTTTCCACTTTCGATGGCAATAAGGATGTGAGGTATTGAACGAAGAGAGGACACAATATGTGGGTTCTCTAGATTCTTGGAACGATAGGAAATGAATGGGCTCGAAGACAGTGACAAGCCCTCAAGGATTTGTTGCGGACTCTAGGTAGAAAATAAGACATCTACGGCCTTTGTGAGTCAGTTTTTAGCTCACAATTAAAGAGATTTACACTGAATGACGTGGGTATTCGCCTGTACCCAAACGTTTCCCCATGACATAGGGTTTATGGGGGGGGGGTGTTAAGCTGCGAGCATTACGCTACTCAATCCTTTAATTTGAGATTGACAATTTGCCCGAAGCAAGGTAGTATTGAATATTTTACATGATTGTTTGGGCATTCGTGGATCCAATGGCAATCTTAATAGATTTGGGGATTGGACTGGGGCCCAGTCGGCAGAAATTTCTGAGAGGATTTGAATTATCAGAGATGGGTCTCCAGAAATAGTCTGCACGAAATGGTCTGTAGGTTTTGATTTTTTCAGCTTTCCGCGATGATTATGGATGTGATCGTCGACTGAACTCGAAGAAGAAGGCGAAGTAAGCCACACCCCGAGAGCACGTTGGGGTAATTCATAGCTTTTATGTGAATTCGAGGTGTTACTTACGCCAATATACAGACCGTAACTTTTTATAATCGTCGAGTCTTTGCGTTCCGCGGCGTGCTTTTTTTGGCTAGTCAATTTGTGGATGATGGGCAGTGTAATTGGAAATTGTTGTAGTACTGATTTGCAGGATAAACTTGCAGAGAACCTCCGAGTTACGGGCGCAGCATATGCTGCCGGCACGCCCACTAGTCTATGACTGGCTGGCTCGCGTCTGCACACAGTAACCCGTGTGGTGGTAGCCAATCACGGACGAGTGGGCGTGTCGGCAGCATATGCTGCCGACACTGCTGCGGCCCGTAACTCGGAGGTTTCTCCTGCAAGTTTATCAGAGTGGGAGGAAAGCTGTGATTTTGCGGATTGTTATGCCACACCCACGAGTTTTCACCCTTGGCTTATATAGGAAGTGTAGTAGGTTGGAATGCAAAGCAAATAAGAAAACAGCGGCTAGATCATCGAGACCCTTTGATTTCGTACATTGCACGATCACTCCGCAACCGCGCGCGTCGCAAGCTTACGAAACCTACGGGAGGGTTGTTAAACGTAATGTAAGGGTTCTAAGATCTGATTAGAGAAGAGCGTTTCAGGTAAAGCACTTCAGTGAGGACGAGTTGAAGTACTTCCTGAAATGGCCCGAGTACGACTTTTGGTCCGGTTTTGTGAAGCTGAGAAACGGTTCCCAACCGGGGTGAGGTTGCTTATCGTCGAAAGGCGTTGAGATATCGAAAGACCTTGAACTAAACTGTCAATGTGTATTTTTAGAGAGGAACACTTGGATCGATTTTTCTTCACTACCGGCTTCCACGGTGAAAGTTTGTCAGATTGGAACGAACGTGGACGAATGCTTCACGCTTGGCGAAACGTGGTCGATAACTACAGGTTAGCCTTATTCCGTTGGAAAATGTCCTGAAAAAGGGTAACCAGACCGGATTAAAAGGCAGTTTTCAACTTGAACGGGAATGCTTTAAAGACAGTTGTTATCATGCGCTTACAAGAAATCGGCCGCATAGATTAAGGCTCGCGAGCTCCACGGCCGGGGGATTCGTGAGATTTCAATTTCCATCACTGAGAAAATATTTCAAACAGCTCAGTTCTTAAACCCACAACTGTTCTTCTGGGCAGCAAAGAAAGTTCGCGTCGAGCGTCGGTGTCGCGCGAAACGCGCGTGCCGCAACGCATGGCCCAGAATCAACACTGGTTTTGTGCTGCGCGCTAAGACTTCTAACGCGACGGGTCCTATCTGGGGGTGGGGGGTGGCCGCGGGGGGGCGGGGGCACGCTCCGCGATCAGGCGGGCTCGCCTGTTCCATCCAGGGGGGGTAGTAGGCAGGTGGACAAGTGTTGATGTCGGGCCCCTTTTGCGGCTTGAAAGTACGCGACAAAGGCGCAAGGAGCTCGTCCAACCCGCAACTCACACCTTCGTCCGCAAGCCCCACCCTTCGCTGTCGGTTGCCACGTGGCGCTGCTTGACATCGCGGCGCATTCCGATGGTGGGAGCAGTGGTACCAGCGCGATCCAATGTTATTGACACTGGAGCAAGTAGAGTTAGGTTCGTGAAACTCGTCCAATTCGCCTCTTCTCTATCCAAGGTGGAATGTGGCTGAAATAGGGGAGGTCTCTGTACGGGGCGTAATCGGTGGTTTCGTTTGCTTTCCTTCTCTTTTACAGACCACCTCCCACCTATAGCTTCATAACTGAACGCTTTTCCACACACCTATTTTATCCCGAATCTTGCCTTTGAATTTTGATTTTTCCTTAATTTCACTGCTATTAAATCGATTTCTCAATACCTACCTGTTGAGAGGCTTGGTCCACGGGTCGGCCGTTCATGGTGGTGTAACGCAAACCTGGTCCAAGCCTCTAGGCGCAAGTCCTAGTTCGTTCGTGCAATGCACAGCGAAGGCTTGGTGTTAGCGCCGGCAAATATTTCTATCTATTTCTGAATTTCCTTCTTTTTTCTCTCCCACCCTTTTCGCTGCGCTCTGAATTTCTGGCCCTAGTAATGGCGCGTACTGATCTCAATGTGAAGCTGTGCGACGCGTGTGTTGCCGGACGAAATGCGTTTCTGGCCCAAGTTAAGTGCCTTCTCGAAATGCACGTGGACCGATTCCATCCTCAGCTGTCAGCCGTTCCATCAAGAATCACCCAGCAAGGTTCGAGCAGATCAAATTTTGGGTTGAGCACGACCCCGTAGGAGGGAAAGCATGAAGGTGGAAGGGGTTCCGCATCTTTTCTTATCAAGCCTTTATTTACCGTACTTATACTTTACCATATTGAAGCGCTTTTACAACCCCGAACATGACTGTATTTCGTTGGAGACAAGAGAAGGATTTTATAACGCCAAACCACGAAGATTACCGAAAATTTTCTCGAGTTTTGCTGTATCGCAATAAAACTTTTCCCTTCCCAACAAAATACTTTTTGATCTACCCCCAAATACCCGTGAACATTCCCCATATCCATCCGCACCTAATTGACTTTACTAGCGAATGGACAACACATTACTTAATAGGCCAAGGTACCGGGCTCAATAATGGAGTATTAAGCAGAAACTGACTATAGAGCTGCGAAGTGAACGACCCAAAGTGAGAAAAAACCAAACGCCCGTCGACAAGCCCGGACAAAACCCTCTTTCCCACTAGCAGTGAAGGAGGCTGGCTTGGGAAAGAGGCACGTACAAACAAGTTTTCTGGAGATGTCAGTCGTTCTATCGGTTGATACGGCAATCAACCTAGCTGATTTCACACGTTATGCCAGCCACGCACCACTTCCGGAGGTGGGCGGTCCTGGATTGACCAGGCGGCCCTGGATTGAAACCGAACGCCCCGGGGCCTTAACGGGGTTTTTCAAGGTGGGAAGTTGCTGCAATGTGTGCAGCTACCCACATACAACCTCCAGGCACGGGAATTACTTCTCTAGCGTGCCTGAGCCCGACCTTTGCCTTTAATAAAGGAACATAATAGTTGACAACGCCAAATTCCCACAGATTGCCGCATGAACTAATCTATACAGGGGGGGGGCCAAAAAAAAAAACATTTTGCCTCCACTTCCAGATGGATTTAAGCACATTTTACTCAACTCAGACCGAACGGTTCCAACTTATTATTAAAGAGTGCATTCCATTCTATAAGAAAATCTTCATAGTGGCCACGTACGTGGACGGCATCAGAAGAATTAGCCCTGGAAACATGGTGCACTGGTCGATCTCAATGGGGTCTTCGAAGGATCGTGTACCATAACGACCCTTACTGGAAAGCTAGTTCCGAGGGGATTTGCACAGTGGTAGCTAATGCCTCTAGAAAACTATCCAACATTAAATCGATTCACGAAATTGCGTAAGAGCTTCAGGCTGAAGCTCTTACGGTAGACCTCCTTGAGCCTGACGACGGTGACAGATGACGTCATATTCTGAAGACGGTGAGGGCAGTGAAGGAGAGCCTGCATACATTATACGAAGTTAGAGCCGTACACTAATAGAGGAACACTTAGGGAATACTCTGCTGAGGAACTCCCGTCAACGACAGCAATCTCTGCGAAGAAAAAAGAGCCGAAGTCCGACATAGGCAAAATGTCTTTTTTTTTTGCCCCCCCCCCTGTACAGACCATGCAAGAGCTCAGTACCTTTCTATAGC